TACAGTAGTTCTTTCTGTTGATCCCCCTATAAATCTGGACCCCAAGGTATTTGAATGGCAGAGTTCCTTTATGCATTCTAAGGGTGTTCTGTTGCATTAGGGAGATGTTTAGGGGGGACTTACAGGGGTTGTAGAAATTGCACTTCTGAAGGTTAACCATCTGTCCAGAGGTTTCCTCATAACTTTTTAGGAAGTTTGTGAATCTGGTTAGGTTTTGCTTTCCTCCATTTAGAAAGACAATGAGGTCATCTGCATAGGCAAGGTGATGGATGTGCATATGGTTCCTACCCATTCTGTAAGGTTCAAGTTTATATATATATATATATATATATATATATATATATATATATATATATATATATATATATAAATCCGAAAAAGATCCACCAAAATCGGTGGGGTAAGGTTCAGGCCGCCCTTACTAATTTTATTAGATAGAAGTTGGATAGCACGTTCGGGGAGGACTAGACCGATGCCCCGAAGGTAGGACAAAATACATTAAGTTACCGGGATATGCTAGGGGTACACCAAAAAGTGTACCCCAAATGTACACCACCCTCCTACTAGCCATTCATTTTATTTTGTTTTTATTTTTAATTTTTTTTGAAAATTTCTTGCCTTTTTTGTGTGGTAATGGAGGGGGTGGGGGATGTTTGGGTACACCAAAGGTGTACCCCTAGCATTTTCCTAAGTTACCACAAAGAAAAAGGCTGACACACAATACAAAAGTGTAACCCAAAAGAGGACTGAAATCAATCTGCCGAACGAAAAGCCCAATCTCTAGTTCTTCTTCCACTGAGCGCTCGGATTTGAATCCTTTCATTGGTTAGTTCTCGATCGTAGATCATCCATTTCTTGTGTCTGTATTTCCAGCACCAGGATTGAAGGTTACTATGAATGTCCTTGGTGATGTCTTCGATCCTGCATTTATTATTCCCGAAGTTAACAGCTGCATAATGCTTCCAGATGTTCCAGCCGATGATGCCTGGTGCTATCCTTTTAAGAATCCCTCTAAGCGTGTTATTGTTGCCTCGCAGGTTCCATTCCAGGAGGTGTTGCTTGAAGGAGATGTTATCTTTGAGAACTGGCCCATCTAAAAGGTATGCAAAGTTGCTCCAAATATTTCTGATTTTAGGGCATTGTAGGAGGCAGTGGTCCAGAGTTCCGTCATGATTTAGGCAATAAGGGCATATGGAAGGGGAGCTGTTAGAGAACCTAGTCAGGTTTTCTGGCCAAGGGAGTGATTTGTAATTTGTTTTCCAGAGAAATAGCTTGACTTTAGGAATTTGCAACTTGTTCCAGTTAAAACTTTTACTCATTTGGCCCGTCTCTTTCCCCCTGCAATAGTTGAAAGCCTTTTTAAGAGAAAATTTATTATTCTCCAAAGGAGCAGACTCACAGTGCTCAAGGGCTTGATGATGTATTCTGCAAATTCTTTTCTTAACTGTAGAATCTGTAAGCCTTTCAGTTCTAAATGTAGCTCCATATTTATTTCTCATGAAATTGGCCCGTTTGCTGTCCTCATTATGATATTTCCACCATAGCTTAATAGAATAGGCATTCTGAACCTCCTTTAAGTTTCTGATTCCAAGCCCACCCTCAATCTCTGGAAGACAGATCATATCCCAGGCTTTCTAGTGGTATTTGGGTTTGTCCTTGTTGTGGCCCCAAAGGAAATTATTCATTTTTCTGTGAATACTGTTGATGACAGAATTAGGAAGGGTATGTACTGCAAGAATGTGTAGAGGAATGGCTGAAAGAACATGTTTGATAAGAACCACTCTACCCATTTGATTAAGAGTCTTGCTAAACCAGTTATGAAGGTAGAAATCAAAATGGTTGATCAGCTCCTTACAATCCTCCTTTCTCAAGATCCCTTTACATATAGGTGCCCCAAGATATCTAAAGGGAATTTGACCATGTTGCATTCCCAGAATTCTCCCCATTTTGTTAATATCTGAACTGGAGCATTTTTTACCACAATAAAATCTACTTTTAGAGTAATTTATAACCTGGCCAGATGCATCTAGGTAGACCTTCAAAAGGCTCACCAATTTTTTAAGATTAGCCCCATCTCCTTTAGTGAAGATTATAATGTCATCAGCAAAGCCCAAATGGCTGACAATCAGATCCCTTCCAGTGTTATAATGATGAATGATACCTTTATTCATTGATTGGTTGAGAATACAGCTCAAACCTTCACTGGCAATAATGAATAGTAGAGGAGAAAGAGGATCCCCCTGCTTGACACCCCTTTGCATCTTAAAAAAGCCACATGGACTACCATTAATAAGAATAGAGATGTGAGTAGCAAAAAGGTTAGCCATAAGAAGATCACAGGCCTTCTTAGAGAATCCCAAAGACTGTAGAACAAATGTGATAAAATCCCATTCCATATTATCAAAAGCCTTGGCCATATCCAGCTTTATGATAATATTTCTCCCTCTTGTCTTGTTGTCAATCTTGTGAACCATTTCTTCAGTGAGTAGAATCTGTTCTTCAATGCCCTTATTCTGTTGAAATCCTGTCTGCTCAAAAGATATGATCTTAGGGAGAATCTTTTGGAGTCTATTGGCCAGAATCTTTGTGTTAATCTTACTCATGAAAGTGGAAAGAGAAATGGGTCTGTAATCACTGAAATTTTTAGGGTCCTCCTTTTTGGGGATTAAGGTTAAGAAAGTACTTCCATAACTTCTGGGGACAGGGATCCCTAAAAAAAATTCTTGGGAGGCACTGATAATGTCTTCCTTGACAGTATCCCAGCAGGATTTGAAGAAATTTCCATTGAAACCATCCGGACCAGGAGCACTATCAGGATTCAGGTTCCAGACCACTTCCTTAATTTCCTCTCCAGTAGGGACTTTAGTCAACTCCAGGTTGTCGGCCTCTGTCACTCTTACTTCCAAGTATTCCTTGATAGGATCAAGATTGATATTTTTCTTGCTGCAGAAAAGCTGGGAGAAATGATCAACTGCCAATTTTTGGATTTCCACAGAATTGTTGATAGGATCCCCATTATTATTATCAATGGTTCTGATTGTGGATTTGATTCTCCTGCCTTTAACATATGAATGGAAAAAATTGGAATTACTGTCACCTTCTTTCATCCAGTTGATATTAGCTTTTTGCTTCCAGTAGTTGATCTCATTTTCAGTAGCCAAAATGAGATCAGCTTTGGCTTTATTTGCCGAGGGATCATTCTCAAACCTTTCTTGTGCTGAAGTTGCTATGAGTTCTGCCTTTTTGATATTATTCTCCACCCTACCAAAGACATCTTTGTTCCATTCTTTAAGAATAACCTTGAGCCCTTTGAGTTTGTGAGCCAGCCCTGTCATACCCCCAAAACAGGTTTGAGAGCTCCAGAAATCTTTGAGAGTCTTCATGAAGTTAGGGTGATTCAACCAAATATTAAAGAATCTGAATGGTTTGGGCCCGTCATGATTATTCTTAATACATTGAAGTAGCACAGGTTTATGGTCTGAGGTGGTACTGTTAATGTGAGTCACAGTAATATCATCATAATTTTCCAACATGACTTCATTGACCACTGCCCTGTCAAGCCTTCTAAAGACTTTACCCCTGCTTCTGTTACCAGACCAGGTGAATATATTACCAATTAGATAAGGATTGGTAAGCTTGCAGGTTTCAAGACATTCAGAGAGATCATCCATGTCAGTTTGTAGGGGGGGGGTATCCTACCCTTATGCTCAGAAAGGTTAGCAATAGTGTTAAAATCCCCCCCTCCCAACAACCCACTCAGAGTTTGTAGAGAAATTTTCCAAATCTTTCCATAAAATTTTCCTTTCTCTACCGGTGTGTTTTTCATACACAGAAGTAATGGTAATGTTGTTGTGGGATGAGATATTTTGGAAATGGCAGCTTATAAATTGGTCCTTTTCCAAGAAAGGAGATTGAGAAACTCTGAGTTCCAGAAGACCCAGATTTTGTTGTTGCTAGAGAAGGCCCCCTGAATAAAACCAAGTTTAATTCTGTAGGAATCATGTTGAGAGAGGTCAACCATAGGTTCAGTGATGGCTAGAAAGTTAATTCTGTACATATGTATAAGTGATTTGATCCTTTTGAGAGAGGATCTAACCCCACAAACATTCCAAAAGAGCACAATCATTGAAGACTTTGGAGAGAAAAGTCTTTATGTCCCTTGAGACTCCTAGTGAAAATTGTTCTGTGAGAATCATACTGTTTTTTCTTCTTAGTCTTTGGGATGGATAAAGATGAGGAATCCTTTGATGGAGTTCTGAAATTAACTGGCTCAACAGAAGAGGTATCTCTAATTTCCTCAAATTTACCATCATCTGAGTGAGTTCCATATTCCCCTGAGTCCAAGTAGGAGGAAGAAGATGGTCCCTCCCCCTGACCAGGTGGGTTAAGACCCAAGTCAGGGTTAATGTTGTGTAGGCAGTCATCCATGGACCCTCTATAGCTAATGATATTGAGAGGATTTTCCCTTGATGAAAATCCAGAGAGAGATAAAGCTGTGGGAGAGGGGTATTTGTCTGGTTGTTTTTGCCACATATTCCTTTGCCTCTGAAAGAGTGGGAAAATGGAAATCATTCTCTTTATTTTGCATAAGTGTGGGGACTGACAGCTCTTGTGTTACCAGGTCCAATTGGCTAAAGGATGGTAGTGGGTCCATGAGGTTCTCCTGCAAATCCAATAAATCAAGGATGTGTGGAGAAAAGTAGTTTGTTCTTTTATCCTTGGCCTTCCATTGGTAAGTGGGTCGTGACTTCTCTTGTGTAGTGGCAGCCTGGACGTCATTATTAGATTTGTGTGTCCTTTTCTTCTTGATTTCTATCCAGGAATGAATATGCTCTGACTGAAGAGCCTCTTTTCCTTTACCGGAGGAGGGTTTTCCGGTGACTTTCTGATGGTTGGGACAGGAAACACCCTCTTTATGGCCAAGTTTGTTACAATGATTACAGAAGAGGGGGATTCTATCATAGATACAATTGACAAAGAGGTTTTTTCCACCTGTTCTTATATGTATTTTGGGGGGAGGGGATGTGAAATATCCATCTCAATACAAATTCTGGCCTGCTCCCTCCTATCTCTATTAATGGTGTGATCATCCACCTTAATAAGTTTACCCAACAGAGATGAGATGGTGAAAAGAGCTTGGAAGTCAATGAAATGTAGTGGTAGATTATCTAAGGTAACCCAGATAGGGAGAATAGGACTGTCCTCCCTTCCACTATAATTATATATATATATATATATATATATATATATATATATATGGCAGTTGACGTGGCAGGTGACAAGTAGATTATCTTGCACAGCTGGAAGTTTCATTTTCAGAACTACCTGGAGTAGAATTCTTTTGCTTCAAATCAAGGACCATGCTACAGTTACACCAAAAAATATATCCCATTTGTACACCACAGGTTTGCACAAACATTTCGATGGTTTACACCGACACAAGTGTTGGTGCGTTAATAAAAAATTCACACGAACACAAATGTTAGTGCGTTTAACAAAAATTAGTTTTACAGGTGCAAAACTGCCGGGGTACACATAGCATAATCCTCGAATCAATCCTCTCACCTTCTTTGCCGTTACGATGATGATGATGACCATTCCCTCTCTGTAGCCGTTTCTTTTCCCAGGTTTATCAACATGCTTCAGTCGTTCTGCATTTTCATTTACTCAGTATTCTGGCCAGACAGTCGAGTAAGTTTCTTGTCGGCGTCCCGAGTAAGCTTCTCAATTAGGTCATGTGTGTACTTCTACTTCTCTCATCATCGCAGGTAAAACTCCAGTCACTCTCTGTCGCCAGTTGTCATTGTTATCTTCTTCTTCTTCTTCTTCTGAAATCAAATTTCTATTAATGAAGTTCTTCAATTTTGTAAATGTTATTTTTTCCAGAGTTTGTACAGATTTTTTTTTTAAAGCAATAATTTGATTCATTGTTTGTTGTTCTTTGGGTTTGTTTTTTTAGGATTTTGTGTTCTTGATGTAGTGTGTCTACATTTTTTCCTGAAGTTAAAAATACCATATATTTGCATTCGTATGCAACATTTGTGTTGCCTTCCTTCCCGAATGACGAACTGACAAGGCACACCAAGTGTTTGGAAAAATGCCCCAATGAACTTCATACAAGTTGTTGCTATTTCTTCCTCTCAAGACACTTCTTTGGTTCACTTAGAGTTGTATCGTAAGTCTTTTGTGGTTTATAAAGCTTCAAATATGGTTGATAAAGAAGGTTGTTTAACTTCTCCAATTTGTTCCATCCATCTATATAAATGTAGCATGTAGCATCTTCTCATTAATGGATGAATTTTATTCTTTTGAGGTTTCGATATTACTTAAAAGAACACTTTAAAATGTTGAAGAAGAACAATTCATGAAAACAAATCCATTTTTAGTTGGATCAATTTTATATTACACGTTGAGGGAAGGTGTGCTATCAGCCACTACAATAAGTAAGATGATATCTTATCACTTTAGTGAAGTAGAAAAAAACATGTCTGCATAAAGTTCACATAGCACAAGTTTATTTAGAAGTTTCTAACGATAATTTGTGTTGGTGTTAAGAATTGAAGTGGGAGCTTCCATCCTTATCAATAAATGCTTAGTTCTTCAGGTTAAGGTAAAAAGGCCAAATTTACTTTTTGAATTTTTGGTTACAAATATTTTGCATATCCAAGAATGACAATCTGCACTCAGAATTGAGATAAATTGCTGGATGTTCGTCCTTATGCTTCGTTTCGTGAATGCTAGAAGCAGAGCTAATGTTTGTACGTTACTATGTGCCTTATTGAATTAATCAAAACATGATGCATCTTCCTTGAGTTCGTTCCATCTGCAACCATTATTAACTCTTCCTTTTTCCTGTTCTTCTCTAGAATCCTCAAGCTTGAAACTATAAGTAACATTTTTTTCCTTCTCATGATTTAATATGAGACTCCATATATGCTTGGAGTTGTTCTAATTCAATATCTGCCACGAGGTAAGTTATGCGGCGTTAGGGTAAGCCGAAATGTTGCAACCGTTTCTTTCTCATTATTCTGGTCAGATCTTTTGCATCCTATGTTTTTGTAGGCGTTGATGGATTTTTGGCTGAGCTGGGGGCTGGGGGAAACACCTCCACCATACCAGCAATGGTTGTTGAGGTCATTGAAGACCTGAACCTTATGGAGAAAATTGATGTTCACGTGCTCTTTGAAGGAACTTTTAGGAAACTCCATGTAATCGAACACATTTCCCCTTCCGTCACCTCTATTATTTATTAGTATTCAGGTCATCTTCAATGTAAATATAAGCTAGATTTTAGATTTCTTTTTTGCAATGTGTTACTGTTCCATGGAGTCTGCAATTTAGGTGCTGAAATTTGAAATGGAATGCTTTTGCTTTAATTTATGGTCACGTATAACTCATTTTTAGGGGAATTTAATGCTTCTATGGACTAATTGAAGGTTAAAATCAAATCTTTTAGGATGTGTTTGGATGGAGAGTTTAGCAGGGGACAGCTTTGGAGTGTTCAGTCTATAGCTTTATCTTGATAATTGAAACTGTTCAAAAGGTGTAAACTTTGGTGCTTTTAATGATCTCTTATTAGAATTTATTACTTTCCCCATTGTTATACTCTGAGAATTGGGACTGACAAGCACATTTGTTATTATAGAAATCAATTGCCAGTTTAATACAAAGATTTGGAAGGCCTCAGGTGGAGAATATTTGATGTGGAAGCCCAGGTTGGAATGTGCTATCTCCATATTGATGTTGTAATTCAGTGAAAAATTTGTCTTGTGATGATTGTGTTTTTTGCTAGGATCTTGGGAGGCTGGAAGCTCAAATATCAACTGTGGTTCAAGGTAAAGATAAACCAACATACTCACCTCAATGGGATGAAAGGCGTATGTGTATAGTTATCAATGCAAAGGATGTGTGTGTGACGGGAAGGAAGCTCACTTATATGTTTTACCGTTGACACACCAGACAAGTAGCACTTTTATTAAACTCTCTTAGTAATGCATAAAATGGATGAATATAATATATTTTGCAGCAACACAGGAACTGGCACTTTTATGAGGATGGGGTTACAAAGTTGAAAACACCAACCTTTTCCAATATTATTAAGGATTTGGGTGTTGGGACTTCTTTTATTAATTTTTATGAGGGCATTGCTGGATTCATTAAATGAAAAAACATTACCAACATGTAAAAATTATAAAGAAAAAATCTATGAAGAGCTTAACTAAAAATAAGCAACATTTGCCAATTGAATAATTATGATACTTAAAATTCATATCCAAATGTTGTTGGAATATCCATACATTTCTAAATGGATGCCTATTACCTATATTTTTACTTTGTATTTTATTATCTCAATGCAACAACATATAACTTTCAATATCTAATGTTTGGGTTTTCTACTGTTTACAGAGTAGTATTTTTCCCATGCTTTGTATAATATAGGGGTTGAGATAGAGTTGTTAGTGAATGACCTTAAAGTAAATGTCATCAATGCGTACTAATTACTATATTTTAAAATGCAGTATGAACTGTATCTGAGTATCATTAGGTGTATCAGACTATCAGTGTATGTTATACCTAAAGCTATTTGGTGGACCTCTAATGTAGCATCCTGCATCAAAGACTGTTTGAGGAGTTAATTTGTTGATAATCATCCTTCACCTTCCAGGTATGCTATAGCTATTGCTTTCTAGGCTGATTCATATCAGGTGTGGTGTACCAAAAGTCCAAAATCCACATTTAGGGAAGGAACCAGTGCTATGCAACATAGGGGTATTGCAAAAGTGAATAACAACTAAAAGAACCACTCTTGGGCCCTAGAAGCTCTACTCTTACCAAGGAACCTGGACTCAATTTTCTTAGATGTCGTATGGCGACCTTACATACTTCATTCCTTATTTATCTTCTTCAAATTATAAATCAATTCATCTCCTTTCAACTAACTATACAACCAGTTGCAGGATGACCCTACAGTGGAATCATTTTCTTTTAGCATTATCTAAATTTGAGTTAGAGCACTGCAAACTCCTGATTCTTTATTTACATTGCCCGTCTTCTTCAAACTTGCATAATGATGGGTTTGACCACATTAGTTTTCATTTTTCATTTCAGCCTGCTTTTCTAATATTGGCTGATTCTGATCATGACAGATCCCCCCCTTTGTGGATGGGTTACTAAAGGATTTGGTCTACTAGGGGAGTACAACTGACTACTTCTTAAAACCAAGGCCAATTTGGTTTTTTAAACAAACAACTACATTACCTTCAAATGTCCTCAATTGAAGGTTACATTTTGGAAGGAAATTCCAACATTACAAATTTAAGAAAATCAATAAAAGGTGCATTTGAAGTCAAGTAATGATATTTTTTCCTGTTGTTGTTTTAATATGTTACTTAGGCATATCAACTCTCTACGCTTAAGTTGTTTGAAAACTTTGCAAATCATCGCTTCATAAGAATAGATTGTTTTGCTCGCTTCTACATACACCTCTACATCATCATTTCCCCTTCTTACAAACTGTACCCCGTAAGTGTTGAACCGTAATTCGAGATGGAATATATCTTTTAACTTATAGTTTTTTTACTCTATTTTGAAGAAGAAGAAGAAGAAGAAGAAGAAGAAGATGATGATGATGATGAGCGATCTTGAAA